AAACAGAAGGCTGCTTCTTTAGATTTCATGTTTCAAACCAGAGACAGGAATTGTTGCAGGGGGAGTAGACTGAAACACATTAATTTATAAGGCATAGGTTTTTTTCATCAGTTGAAAGAATAAAACCCATTCAAATGATAGAAACTCTGGAATCTGGTATTACTGATGTCACCTTTTAATACTTGGCTGATAACATATTTTATTTACCCAAGAAGTAATAAGAAATATTATACCAAAAGGAATCTAATTTACAACACAGACTTACACAGAGTTCCACATACATATTTATGAAACAATCCTTCTTCCCCCCCCCATCTCATGAATTTGGTGAATATTTGTTGGGCTAAACTGATTACCAAGAGACTGTCTTCATAAATAAAGTAGTAATTACAAATTTGCTCCAAGAAATTCTTTTCTTTTCCTCTCTCTTCCAAGTGATTGCTGCCTGAAGTACTCAAGTATTTGAAGCAAAGTTTTGATCTTTTACTCTTGAAAGCTTCCTGTTCCATCTCCTTTTGATGCTTAACTCATTGGTGAATTTATAATAGGTTTGCAGAAATGATTTCTTCCTTCATGACTGGCTATTGATGAATAGATCAGCAGAAAGGAAAATAAAGTTCCAGTGCTCACAGCCAGAAAGAATTCATGGTCCTCTACCCTGCATTAGAAAGTGCATGCTCTGGGCTGTTGCTCTAATAATGGTGAAGAGTTTGCTCTGATAACTCAGCTACTCTTTCTGGTGACTAGCATTACTCAGCTCTGCCTTCATATAGGTTTAAGAAACGCAGAAGAATTTATCAGATTCTTTCCACAGTTACAGCCTGCATATAATTTTCCTTAAGGCAAATACCTCATCTCAACATTAAACTCAATGCAAGAAAGCTAGAGAAAGTTAGCGTGGATAAGAAGCAAGTGCAGTGGAGACAGCTCCTTGGTTGTCCTTAAGAAAAGAGGTATAGTGGTAAAGATACTCTCTGGAAGTGTGGATTTTGCCTTTGCCATGTGCAACACTAAGTGAGTTACTTAACTTCTCTGGCCTCCTTTTGCTTCACCTGTAAAATCATATCAACAATATCTGCACTGTACAGCTGTCATGGAATCAAATGAATCTATAGCACCAGTCAGAGGTAGAATCTGGTAAGTGAATGAATGGGCCAGCATAAATTTAAGTCATGATATACAAGATATACAAGCAAACAAACACATCGTTGTAACTGGAAGAGCCATCATGATACTTTCAGCAATAGTACAATATAGTATTTCTTTGGGATTGAAGAGAATTTTGATTTTGATGTCAGATTCTTTTTATGATAAAGACATCAGGATGTCTTAAATGGGGCTGCCTTACCTTAGCCCAGATCAAATGAGGAAAAAGTGGCAAGTCAAGATCATGATCTTCCCTATTTGTTCTGGAATATGTTTCTCAAATGTATATTTTGACGGTTGGTGCAACACACTCTCCCAAGTGCTCCATACCCAAGTGACTGCCTGTGTCTTCATCACTCCAGTGCTATTTTCTGCCTATATTTTAAAATGAGTGACAAAGCTCAGTGCGTTAGGATATTCCTGCCAAAACTCCCTTTGTGCTAAGTGATTTAGTACTTTGACCTTGCCCCAGACACCCTGACACAAGTGTTTGGTCTCTGGAGTAAAGCATAGGCTCTCGTATTTCACGAGGATGGGGAAAGAGGATGGTCACAGAGTTCAGGTGAGTGAGAGGAAGAGCGATGCCCTGCTCACTTGGGGTTTTGTCTTCCAGAGTTCTTGCTCCGTTTTCCTGGTTGCACCAGTATCAAGGCCATTGGATGTGTAACCGATTGTACACATCTGTCCTGCTGTTGCCCTGGTGACAATGTGTGGCCTTGTTCCTGGTGGTTTCTTTAGTTTTACAAGCTGGAGTACCCCGGGAGCAGAGGTGAGCAAGGGATCTTGTGTGGGATGTCAGCCCCTCCTTTAGAAGAACCTACATAGAAAGCTGGTTAATGAAGATACTCCCCCATTTCTTGGCTGAAGCAATAACAGTTGTGGTCTGACTCTATTTGAAAGGAAAAGAACCGACATGCAAAGCTAGATGAGGCCTCTCGTTTGGCTATTCTTCTGCACTTACTGCTAAGGAAATGGCTTTAGATGGTTGTCATCAGCTACTTCAGAATTAAAAAGTATGGAGAAAATACTTTCATATTGACTTTCACTTAAAAAGTGACTTTTAAACCTATAAACTCTATTTCCCAGAGTGACAGCCTACAGCAGTAGGTACTGGGATCACTTTCCCCATCCTTCTGGCCAGAGGCTGGGGTGATGATGACACCTTTTCCTTTGCCTGCCACTTTGGTTTCCAGCGCTGTCTCCACCACCTGGCATTCTTTCTGAATAGCTATAGGTTGGGAAGAGTGGGCAAGAGCATCAGAGAAGAGCTGGCCTGAGAATGGAACAGTACCACAGAATAGGAGGCAAGAGGGCAAGAAAGCATCTCGGAGGAAGAAAACACTGCTGCCTGTTGCCTCCTAGCAGAGCTATCCATCCTCATGTGTTTACACCACTCACCAGGTCAACAGGGAAAGAGCCAAAAGAGCGCTTCAGTGTGCACAAGTTCAGGCAATCTCGGCAAAGAGAGTGGGCTGCCTCCAAGAGCAATCTTTGCAAGCGCAGGAAGGTCAAGATATTTGAAAATTTAATTCAGATCTGAGAATGAAAGTAGGTGGAGCAAGGAGGAGGGGATACTTCAGCTGAGAGCATATTAGGCCATTTATAATGTAGCTGAAGGGCAGGGGATTTAGCTCAGTGGTTCCACTGCCTGCCTCGCAAGGGCAAGGTCCGGAGTTCAATCCCTGGTACCTAAATAAATAAATAAAATAAAAAATATAATGTAGTTGAAGTGTTGAAGTGAGGCCATCACACTAAATGGATACTTAGGGCTGGGGATTTAGCTCAGTGGTTTCACCGTCAGCCTTGCAAGCACAAGGGTCTGAGTTCAATCCCTGGTACCAAAAAAATAAATAAGTATGCCATTCTTGGGGCCAGGGACTTAGCTCAGTGGTGCCGGCACCTGCCTTGCAAGCACAAGGACCCCAGTTCAATCCCCGGTACCAAAAATAAAAACAAACAATAAATGGATAAGTTTCACAGACACGGGCAAAGCATAAGGGGTTAAATTCAAGCCCTTGAGCTAAGTTGGCCTCCTCATTTGTGGGAGCTGCATTTGGTCTTCTTAGCACAGAAAGCTCACTGAACTTTGTGACCTAAGATCTGAGTTTGTGTTATTTGTTATAAAACTAAATAGAATGAAGTGGGAACACAAACTCAGAAGACGTAATTTTTTTCAATCTGCCATATTGGTTGTTAAAAATAAAAATACATCAAATATTGAGTAAACTGGATGTGGTGGTGCATACCAGTAATCCCAGCACTCTGGAAGCCTGAATCAAGAGGACCAAAATTTAGTGACTTAGCAAGAACTGGTCTCAAGTTAAAAATAAAAAGAGCTGGGGAAATAGCTCACTACGGAGGCACTGTATTCAAATCCCAGTACCACACACACACACACACACACACACACACACACACACAAAGTAAATGGTTATAAATATGACTCAGATACAAGTAAAATTATAAATTGAAGGTCCTGGAGTCAGCTCTCACCTTTAAAGTCACCTTTGTATCAAAGTAACATTTTTGGGCAAATCCAACCATTCAACTGGCAATCACAGACACTATTTTTTCAATACTTTATTTCAATCTAATTTTGTTTGTGTGAGGGTGGTCACTACCTAATATTAAATCACCATGAGGATCTGATACCTACCATTGATATAACTATTAATACATTTGTGGAAACATAATTTTAAATAATAAATAAAATAGTCTGATTGAGTATAATTGGATGTTACTATACTTGGATTTTAGTGTTATCATGGATTGGGGGAATAAAGCAAGAAAAAAATGAGGAAATGACTAATGAAGCAAAAGGGCCCATATTATTATAAATAATTTAGCTTTTGAGAGTTTTATGCAATGTTCAATTGTTTTCCAGCCCAGGAAGCACTGAGATTTGTCCAACAAGCTAGCATCATTCAAGATGCCTTCAACTCTTTTTTTTTCCTAGATGTCATTTTGCCTAAGGTAGAATTTGAAGGTATCTTGAAATGAGGTGAAGAGGTATTTTTAACATGTGACAAGATATCCTAGACCTGTGGGACAAGGTAAAGGAAGGCACTGTCCAGGAATGGAAAGAGTACCACCAAAATAATTTTTTTTAACTTTATGAGATGAGCTGAAATGAAACAGCAGAGAAACTATTTGAGAACTTTACTACACTTGCTCTTAGCCCAAAGGATAAGAAGCAGTATTCTCTTTTTTCTTTTTGGTACCAGGGATTGATCTTGGGACCTTGTGCTTGCAAGGCTGGCGAGGCAGGCAGTGGAACCACTGAGTTCCTGGCCCTTGTTTGAGAACTTTAGCTTTAGCATCCAGTGTTTACCTGAAATGCAAATTGGAGATAGATGAGTAGGTGATTCAAATAATAAATAAGTTTTAACAAAACACATTAAAAAGACTCCCCAAAACATCTATAAAATAATAATCACCATTGTACTTGATCTGACTTGAGGTAAATTTATTCTGTTAGAAAATAGTTTAAATATTTCTATGTACACACACTACTCACATTTGTAGGTTCCCCAACTAGTAGTAACCAAAGAAAGATTTCCACTGCATTTTCAAACCATTAAAGAGCAGATTTTATTTGTTCATGTGAACTCAACTCTGAGGGCTCAAAATGAGAGATTACATGCTTACTGGCTCAGCTGATTTCTAGCCAATCTGGCTTTTTCCCTTCATTTTTTGTGGTCCCCTGAAAAAATCTGGGGCCAGTTTCTTATAACATATATAGCTGAGCGGGATGAGGGTGAGGGAGTGAAGAAGGAAATGCTGTTCCCATTGTCTTCCAAGGGAGAATCTTTTGGACTCACTGCCTGAAATCTCCTTCTGTTTGCCTTCACCAGGAATGGCGGCCCTAGATAGTAAGGCATCAGGGAAGATGGGGATGCGAGCTGTAGTCTATTACATGACTACCACCATCATTGCTGTGGTGATTGGCATAATCATTGTCATCATCATCCATCCTGGAAAGGGCACAAAGGAAAACATGTACAGAGAAGGCAAAATTGTCCAAGTAACTGCTGCAGATGCCTTCCTGGACTTAATCAGGTATGTCCTTACAAGCCTGTCCCTCGGGTATATTCTGACCATCCAACTTCCTTTTTGGGGAAGCTAATCAAACCCTGAAAGAGGTGTCTGACTGAACCATCCTTGCCTGGCTTGAAATGAAGGTTACATCTTCACTTCTTTCTAACAGAAATTAAAGTAATGTTTTATTGTCTGGTATCATCTGCAAGAGGTGAGAAAGACAAGAAGAAGAGACAGATTTCGAGAGTCTTGCTTTTAGGATTCAGAATCTCATCACTAAGTTTTCTCCACTGTGAAGCTCTCCTTTGAGTATAAATAATTCTTAACTTATTTTTTAAGTCTTTACTTTAAAGCTAACCACTGAACCCCTAATTGAGAATATATATCATTGTTCGTTATACAAAATATAGTTACATAAAGGACTTTACAGATCATTTGGTCATGCCCAAGCCTTTCCTTTCGTACTCTTTATGAAGAAAGACTTTGGCAGATTAGTTAGAATATCAAAGGATAAATTCTTCATCATTGTTTTATTAATAGATATTGATTATAAATGAGGCTCATTTAACACTTGAAGTGAACTTGGTAATAGATGGCTTTTACAGAACTGTGAAGTAAGCCAAAGTTTGATCCTGACACTTTCCTACTTTGTTTTTCTGTACATCTGCCCTGAACTATCAGATCTTAGCAAGAAGGTTACTGTATACTCAAAAGGAGCATTGCAGAAGATTTGCAAAGCCTGAGGCATGGTTAAGGAACTTCTCAGGGATGATGAGGTACCAGAGAACTAACAACTGTAGAAAGCTATTTTGTTCCACTCCTGGCCAGGAAAGGAGCTGTTATTAGAACCCAGAAAGAGCTGTAGCCATAGAGGAGGCGCTTCAGGGTAGGAGCTCCAGCTTTAATTGGAGTAAAGGAGCTCCCACCAAATTTGTCAGTAAGAGAGGTAAGTGAATATACACATAGACTTCTTTCTCTACCCTGTGATCTGTCAGTGCATGCCACTAGACAAACCCACAGGCAGCCAGAAAGCAAGAGAATCCATATGCAGATTCCTAGGAGTCCATAGGAGTCAGCCAGTGCACTAAGCAAACTAGAGAAGAAATCTAGAAATTCTTTCTTTCTAGCTCTAGAGATTTCCCGGAACAGGACTCCACATCCCCCATCTGCTTAGCATTTCCCCACCATGCAGCCCACCCAGTCTGTCCTCCTGAAACCTAGCAGCAAAGTGACCAGCAAAGGATGCCCCATGGCCACATGAAGAAAACTCGTTCAAGGGACTGATTTCATATGTCATTGCAAGGAGTGGGTCTGTGGACGTAAGACTGACAAGAGATGTGGGAGCCGGAGGGTCTCATCAGCAACACCTCTCAATTCCCACTATCAACGTCACCCAACACTGTGGGACTTCTTCTTGAAAGCTCTTCGCAGCGGAGTTAATAACAATAACCTACTTTTCATCATGTTTTCATGAACTTTACTCTCAAGTAGTTTGGGTTAGGAGTCTTATTATGGCCTTTTTTCCTGTAATTTCTACCTTTGCTTGAAGAATTGGTATCTTGTCATTCGCAGTCTGACTGGTCATCAGAATACAGTGAGTTTGTACCCCATGTTTCCCCTAGTGACAAAGATAGGAACATCCTGCCAGTTGCTTGGCTTCAGCATTTATCCTGGAGTGTCCTAAGTGCATATTTCTTTCATAGAAACAACCCCATAAAGCACAAACTTTCTACAGTATTTGGGAAGTTTTCAACTAACTGCTATTTTCTTTGCAGGAACATGTTCCCTCCAAATCTGGTGGAAGCCTGCTTTAAACAGGTAAACACTCTACAGCAACCCATTCACCTTTGGATTTTTTTTTTTTTTAGACTTACCAAACCAAGTGGGGAGCCCCCAATGCATACATGGCCACTGCAGTTTCTCTGCAACCAAATGGAAAGCAACAGGGTTTTCTAGGAAATTTTGAGGGAGTCAAGAAAAAGTGGGTCTTACCTCGTATTGAAGGCTTACTAGTTGCCAGATGTGGTGTGTCTTGCCCCAAATAGCACATTGAGTCCGTGTAATTGGTTTGTTTGTTTTGAGACAAGGTCTCATTTCATAGTACATCTTGGCCTTGAACTTACTATGTGCCTTAGGCTGACCACGAACTCATAGCAGTCTTCCTGCCTCTGCCTCCTGAGTGCTGAGATTATGGACATGCTCCACCTCACCTAGACCCTGTTATTGTTAAGAGGGCTATGGGCCAGGGATTTAGCTCAGTGGTGCTGCCACCTGCCTCACAAGCACAAAGTCCTGGGTTCGATCCCTGGGACCCCTCAAAAAAAGCTAATCAGGAGATCTCCCTTTCCCCACTGCTCACTTACAGAAGCCCACAAAGTGAACAAATTCCACTCTAAAATGCATTCAGTTGGCTGTTCCAATTTCTAGGTTTGATTTTAAAAATCACTGAATTGTTTTTATTAACAATCTACTTAGAACCTTCAGAATTCTAAAGGAGAACCATATGAGAAACAAATGGTATCATCAAATAAAGAATGTCTGTTGTGTGCCATGCACTAATGTTACATTTAATCCTCACATAAATATGATGAACATAACATCTTCATTGGTGTGATGAGGCACTCATTTATAAGAACTGGGAGATTATGTAATAGGCACAAGTTCCCACAAATAGAAGACGGCAGACTCAGAATTCAGATCTGTGTGTTGAGAACAGATTTCCTCCACTTCCTGCTCCTCCATTCTGCTTCCTAGAAAGCAACATCCAGGGTAATGAGACCCTTACCTGGAGGCTATTGTGAAGTCCAGTTCCTTTTAACCTAGCATCTATGCAATTCTTGGCTCACAGCATTGTGAATACAAATGCATTTTACTTTTAGGGAATAAAAATCAACAAAGTTCATTCTAACCTCAGTTGACTATAAAAGCTTTGTTGCCCAGAATATGAAAAGGGAAACAGTCATTCTGGATTAAATAACAGTTCCCAAACCCTTCCCCAAGATGCTCTCCATTCACCTATGTGTCAGCTCCCTAACCTTTCTTCTTGGGAACTATAAAACAAACAAGACAAAATTCTAACCTCATGGAAAACAGAGTTTTACACATCTAAGTCCTCTTTTTCTTTTTTTCTCTTTAAAAAGTTATTAAGACTATTTTAATAAGCAGTGCACACATTGCAAAATTCAAGAAGAATCTTTTCTTTAAAAAAAAACCCTAAGAAGCCACAGTCTGACTTTCTTTGTTCAAAAACAGCTATAACCATAAATAATAAGCCCTTTTCAAGCCACCAACCCCAGCACCATATTCCAGTTTTCAGCTGGCACTGAGTGATATAAAAAAATGCTGATCTCCAGATCTTTCAGATGGGAAAAGCACTGATTTGTGCAGATTTATTGTATTTAGTTTGGGATTGCATTTACAGGATTTTGAAGGGGAAGCAAACGCATCTCTCTGGATCTGTTTGGCTTAAACCAGAATGCAAATGAAATTGCAATTTCTGAGTAAGCTGCAAACTATGTCTAAGGCGAAGTAGTTGGAGACACAGAAAAGGCTGATGGGGATAGAAAATCTACCATGGACAATTTATAAAATGCATAAGCACCCAACAGAGTAAAGAGATTTGGGAACTGACTGGATTCTTTGTTGCTTGAAATTACCAGCAGTCCAGCTGATTGTTCAGGGAGGTGTCCACAGTACTAACAGCTAGCCTTGCCCTTGTTTGGGAATAATAGATTTCCAATGTACCAGAAAGTCTCCTGCTTACTCTTGGCAAAGAAATGGCCCAGCACTTCACGTCTGGCCATTCTTTCCCTCTGCTCTAAATCCAGTCAACATGCTTACATTATTACTCTGTGTTGCTTTGCAACTACCAACATCAAGACCAGGAATTCTACTCCTGCTGCAATCATACAGGGATGAGCTGCATTGTTTCATGTAGCCACAGCAATATTCTCTACATCTCCTGGTCGGGGCATCTATGCAAAGGTGATGGGAGAAAGGCCATCTCTCCAGTGGGAAGAGAAATGCCACTGAAGGCTTGAAGAAAGTGAGTTGTCATCACCAGCTGTTCATCAGGCACCTGTTCTAAGAATTGATAATATCAAGAATGGCTTGATGACTGGTTGTTTGGGATTTTTTACTTTAATATCTACCAAAATTTCCAACTAGGTCTGATCCCTGAAGGGCTTTGCCACTGAGCATCATTAGCTAACATTAGCATAGTACTGTAAAATTTACAAGATGTTTGATTTGATCATTGCAACTACTCTATGCAGTAGAACCAATGCAGTCACTCCCGTTTCACAGCTGTGGAATATGAGAGAAGGGGCAGAGGGTAGTTTGTCAATGATCTTTAAGCATGATACCAGTAGAAAGTAAAAGGACTCTTGTGAATATTGGGGTTTGTGGCTTTTTAAAATCTCATTATTGTCATTTATTAAGCTTTCAGAAGAAAGCAAAAGCACATGTGTGTGTTTAGTCCACTACCTTTAGCCAAGTATCTCCTTCCTATTGTGATTTATTATGTATTTGAATGCATGTGTGTTATATGTATTTGACTGTGTATATGTGTGTCTTTGATGAGGGGTAGGGGCTTGCCACTGATATATAGAGAAATAGATGGTAGATGGATGGATTAATAGACAAATGGATGGTTTCTAAAACATTATGTTTTGAATACAATACAATGTTTATTATTATGGAAAATTAGAACAGGAAAGAGAAGAAAATAAAAATCGCTTTTAATTCCTGGTGTGCTTTTTATTTTTAAGTTTAAAACCAACTATGAGAAGAGAAGCTTGAGAGTACCCATCCAACCCAATGAGACACTTGTGGGTGCTGTGATAAACAATGTGTCAGAGGCGATGGAGACTCTCACTCGGATCACAGAGGAGATGGTCCCAGTTCCAGGATCTGTAAACGGGGTCAATGCCCTGGGACTAGTTGTCTTTTCCATGTGCTTCGGTTTTGTGATTGGAAACATGAAGGAGCAAGGGCAAGCCCTGAGAGAGTTCTTTGATTCTCTTAACGAAGCCATCATGAGATTGGTTGCAGTGATAATGTGGTATGTATTTCTGTTGATGTGTAACCTGTGTATAAGATGCTCAATGCCATCAAAATGTGTGAAGTACTGAAAAAGACACCACCAGACTGATGGCCAGTTGCAGTGATCTCACTCTGGTCAACACAAGGAAATCAATGCACCTCTGAGCCTGCAGCAACCATGAACCTATATGTAAGCCTCTCAATAAGTTTACTTCTGGTTTCCAAAAGGCGTCACCTCCTCTACCCCGGTGCCAATGGACTCCCACTCCTCACTGGCCCCCTTTGCATCTGTGCAGTTATTCACTTCAGACACATTTATTGTCTACTCTATGGCAAGCAGAACGTGTAAGGCACTGTGAATACAGCAATGCAAAGAACATGCAAGAGCAGCCTCTGGATCTTTCATTGTTTTTTTCTTTTTATTGAGTTTATTGGTACATTTTAGGTATACAGTAAAGTTCCATTCATTACTGGGACCTTGTACCTTTCCATGACAGGTCTTGGTTCTCATTTTTTCCCCCTCGTCTCTGCCCTCCCTTCACCCCCTCCTCCCCTCCTCATTTACAAACATGTTTTTCTATTTTTTCATTTTCTCATATTTTTTTCTTTTCCCTTATTCCGTTTTCCCTGCCCTTCCCACTTTCCCTACACCTTTAGTCCTTTTCTCCCTATTTCACATTGTTAATTATCTCATTACGATCTTGTGCACTATTATAGTTTTTCACACCAGAGAAACTATTCAGTATTTACACATGTGTGACTTATTTATTTCACTTAGGAGTATATCTTCAAAATGTATCCATTTTCCTATGAATGAATCTAATTTCTCATTCTTTATGACTGAGTAGTATTCCATTTTATAGAAAAACCATATCTTCTTTATCCAGTTTCTAACTGATGGGCAAATGGGCTGTTTCCATGTTTTCGCTATTACAAACTGTGCTGCTATAAACATAGGTGCACATATGTCACTGTAGCATGATTCTTTTAATTCTTTTGGAAAGATACCCAGCAGAGGGATGGCTGGGTCAAATGGAACCTCCAGTCCCTGCTCTTTGAGGTATCTCCGTATTGATTTCCACAGTGGTTGCACCAGTCTGCACTCCCACCAACAATGGGGATTTTCATTTTTTTACAAGAGACAGACATAAACCACCAGATAAATTACCCAGGTGCTTTAATTGCAAGTGCTGTGAAAATATAAAATACAATAGCAAGTGACTGGGGAGAGGGTAGGACATTTGCCTTGTATGGTAAAGAAAGAACTCTGAAGATACATTTCTTGCTAAGACCTGAATGCCCAGAAGAAGCCAGTCCCACAAAAAAACCCAAGAAGAGCTTTCCCACCTGAGAGAAAAGCCAATGCTGAGGCCCTACACCATCAAAACACTGAGGCCGCCTCTCTGAGCTCTCTGTTTGCTCTAGTGCGATGTACAGAAGCCCTTGTGGGAAGTACCACAGGGCAAGGCCAAGATTTATAGCAGCACTTCCTTTAATAAAGCTGAGAGCAGGAGAAAAAAAAAAAAGAAAAGAAAAGAAAAAAGACTAAATCCAAAGGGGAACATTGACCTTGGAATGTAAACTCCCAGGCAGGGAGAGAACAGTTTGCTTGGTTTAGACCTCGTGTGGGGTTGCTTTCCTTTTATCCTTTATTTTTAATATCCAAAGTCTTTCCTGGCACCTGAGGCAAGAAAGCTCCCATTGCTATGAAAAGCACTCACTCCCCAATGTTATTAAAAATGCCCTTTGTCTCTAATGCCACCAAAGCCCAGAAAAATCCACTTTTCACGAGTTTGCACAAGACGGGTATGAACGTGGGCACAAAGACAGGTCAGAATGTGATCGCTCAGGGAGCCGCCAATTGGAAGGCTCCTTTGAAATCCCAGCAGGGCTGGAAGTGGACATTTATCTTCATAGCATTAAAATGTCTCCACCTTTCACCTCTTCCATGAAAGAAACCCATTCAAGGCCACTGAATGAACCTCACATGTAGCTTTTCTAGCTGTACATTTGCCTACACATTCAACACTGAGTTATTACCTTTCTGAAAACAGGTACTCCTATGATTTCCTGCCCTGCATTTGTAAGGGACTTTTGAAAGAAGCCTTGTACTATTCATTTCTCAATAAGTCCTCTGCAGTTCTCAGAAGACCCCTCTCCTTAAGGGTGAGATCTTCTCTGTTCTGGTAATGTGAGTTTAGTGGTAGTTTACTGCACACCAGAAAAGAGGGTTGAAAGCCGTGCAGTGGGGCCTTTGAGCAACCAGGGTCATTTCAGTATGTCCAAGTAATTTTGTGATCAGTTGTTCACCCTCTTCAGAACCTGCAGGGGAAAGCTCACAGATGACAAGAGCAGCCTAGAGGCAATAATTATTTAATTACAACGTCCAATTTTGTTAGAACATGCTTGCACATTAATTGTAATAGCTCTGAATTTGTCTGTATACTATTTAGAGCAAGTGGTACTGGTTTTCCATTTGCACTGTAACCTAAAACTCTCAAAGTAAGTTTATTTAAGTAAAAATTGTGAAGAAAAGCACAAAGTAATATTTAAGTAATGTGGAGAGATGGAAAAAAGTCATAAAAGTGGCCCTGGAGTAAGAGAGCTCACTGTAAATCTGAACCACTGATATGGCATTATGTGTCTCTTGCTTGAACTCAGGAAACAGACTGTGATGTGGAAAATGCACCCAGAAGTATGGGTATAGGTCCAGGGGGTTGTGGCAGTTCCAGGTACTTAGCAGTGTTCAGGAGGCAAGGGGAGTGAGTGAAGACCAGATACCAGTGAAGACCGGTACAGTGAAAAGAGAACTACCTTGTGCAGGGGAGAACCTCTGTGCCTGACTTCTTCGTAGGTGCAAGAGGATAAAAATGTGTCATAGAGCAATACTGGCTGACAGGAAAGTCTGATTTGGCCATATCCAGGGGGGAATTTATATTAAAGAAAATAAAGAAACACACAACCAATAACAAATGCCAGCAGGGTTGTGGGAGACAGGAACCCTTCTTCATTGTTTGTGGGAGTGCGGACTGGTGCAACCATTGTGGAAATCAATGTAGAGATACCTTGAACAATTAGATTAGAAGTCCCATTTGACCCAGCTATCCCTCTGCTGGGTATCTTCCCAAAAGAATTAAAAGAATCATACCTTACTGATATATGTTCACCCATGTTTATAGCAGCACAGCTTGTAATAGCTAAAACATGGAAACAGCCCAATTGCCCATCAACTGGAGAATGGATAAAGAAGATGTGTGTGTGTGTGTGTGTGTGTGTGTGTGTGTGTGCCCATTTGACCCAGCTATCCCTCTGCTGGGTATCTTCCCAAAAGAATTAAAAGAATCATACCTTACTGATATATGTTCACCCATGTTTATAGCAGCACAGCTTGTAATAGCTAAAACATGGAAACAGCCCAATTGCCCATCAACTGGAGAATGGATAAAGAAGATGTGTGTGTGTGTGTGTGTGTGTGTGTGTGTGTGTGTGTGTATATATATAACACGTGTATAGCTAAGTGGAGGCACATTGAGGACACACGTGTAAATACCATATAGTTTCTCTGGTGTGAAAAATTAAAATGTAAAATAAGGATCAAAATGTATAATTGATACTGTGTAATAGGAAGAAAAGGTCTAAAGGTGTAGGGGTAGTGGGAGAGTTAAGGGAAAAGAAAAAAACTTCAGAAAAGGAAAAAATGGAAACAGTCATAAATAAGGAAGGGTGGAGCAGTGAAAGGGAGGGAAGAGGAATGGGGAAAAAATAAGAACCAAGATACATCATGTAAAGGTACAGAATGTAACTATTGTATACCTAAAATGTACCAACAAACTTAATAGGAAAAAAAACCTCACAGAATCTAGAAGTCTTAATAGTGTCCTGGTACATTTACATGGAATGGTTCTTTGGAAATCATACTTTCAACCTATGTTGCTTCTCCCTAGGTATGCCCCTCTGGGAATCCTCTTCCTGATTGCAGGGAAAATTGTTGAGATGGAAGACATGGGTGTAATTGGAGGGCAGCTTGCCATGTATACAGTGACAGTCATTGTTGGCCTCCTCATTCATGCAGTCATTGTCCTACCTCTCCTCTACTTCCTGGTAACCCGGAAGAACCCTTGGGTCTTCATTGGAGGTTTACTGCAAGCACTCATCACAGCTCTAGGGACCTCTTCAAGGTATGTATGCCTATAATGGTCAGCTTTCCTATCACTGAGACACAATCCTGACAACTGCAACTTAAAGAAGAGGTTTCGTTTGGTTCATGGTTTCTGAGGTTTCAGTCCATGGTCCATTAGCTCCAAGGCAGAAATACCATGGCTTGAATCCATAGTGGAGCGAAGTTGCTTACTTCATGGTGGCCTGGAAATGGAGCACACTAGAAGAGCAGGGAGAGGAGAGGACCAAGGACTTTATACAGTTCCCAGAGTCACACCCCACCCAGGCACACTCTATGTGTACCTTATCAATCTAAGCATCTCTCAAGCCAATCAAATTGAAATGATACTCCTCCAAGACAATGTGTCTAAAATTTTACCTTGAACCTGAACTTCTCAGGTTAAAGGTAGAGAGAGGCATTTGTGCTGGATTTTAACCTTCAGGAATAATGAATTTGCTTTTTCATATCTATTTGGGATACAGGTAATCACCGGCTGCATATTTTGTGAGGGACTAAATAGAAGTCACCTATTCCTTCCTGTCTATTGCCCTCACCCTCTTCCAGTTGAGATGGCAGAGTGACTTGGCACAGTGTTCTGTGATGGAGAAAAACCAAAAGAGATAATTCAGAGGAACCCAGAAACAGGACAGCTACCAAATGACCCCATGAGGGGAACACGTTTTTCCTAACCCTGCTCCCCTTTTATACAAATGCTGACTTAGTTCCTTTTCAGTTAGGAAGAGGAAGGAACTGTCTCTCCAAAAGACCAAACACAGACGCAGAACTACAGAATGCTCAGCTGACATGCCTTGTTTTACTGTTCTCAGTTCTGCCACCCTACCTATCACCTTCAAGTGCCTGGAAGAGAACAATGGCGTAGACAAACGTGTCACCAGATTTGTGCTCCCGGTGGGGGCCACAATTAACATGGATGGAACAGCCCTCTATGAGGCTTTGGCTGCCATTTTCATCGCTCAAGTTAACAACTTTGACCTGAACTTTGGACAGATTATTACAATCAGGTACAAGAAGAGTTCAGAACAAGATTTTCTTAAGAATAGACTTAACAAATAAGACAGAGATCAAAGGTGGATGAAGAATAGTTGGGAAGAGGATCCCACATAAACAGGAGACTGGGGATTGGGGGAAAAGTTAGATATTTTTATTAGCTATTACAGATGCACATGCTCATTAACAACAAAATAAATAACAGAGAAGCATATAAAGTATAAAGTATAGTTTATGTACTATATCACTTCATCTTTTTGGTTTTTTGTTTTGTTTTCCTTTCTTTTATTGAGTTTATTGGTACATTTTAGGTATACAGTACAGTTACATTCATTATTGGGATCTTGTACCTTTACATGACAGGTCTTGGTTCTCATTTTTCCCCTTGTCCCTGCCCTCCCTTCACCCCCTTCTCCCCTCCCCATTTACAAACACTTTATTTCCATTTTTTCATTTTCTCATATTTTTTTCTTTTCCCTTATTCCCTTTCCCCTACCCTTCCCACTTTCCCTACACCTTTAGCCCTTTTCTTCCTATTTCACATTGTTAATTATCTCATTAGGATCTTGTGCACTATTATAGTTTTTTACACCATACTTTATCTTTTTGTAAGTGATCATTATTCATGTTTAGTTTGGAAAAAATTTTGCATATACATAGACACACACCCACTTCTTGGTTCTCTTATCAATATATCATTTACAAATCTAGTTCATTCTTTTTAATGGAAAATACAAAGAATGGATATTTCTCTTTATAAAAAGTTGTTATATTCCAATAGTATATGTTAGCTTTTGTAGGCAATATTGAAAATTTAAAATACACTTAGAAAACTGGATTAATTTTTCTCTCTGGGGTTAGTTTTTTGGTAGTATAAGAAAGATGACAGATCATACTGACAAGTAAGATTAAGAATTTGATTTTTACCAGGAATTTTTTAAACTTTCATGTTGGAGGTGTCTAGTGAAAAGTAATTTTCTTTTCTATACCTTTTCCCAATCTCTTAGTTTCCTTCTGCAGAGGCAACCAGTGTTACTTACCAGTAACACTTTTCATGCATATCCCTGCATCTATGGGAATGCAACCCCTTTTTGCCTTCTGAAAGTTACTAGGGACAAAGGACACATACGTCTAATGGCCACAGGAGACTTTAAGCCTCATGACCTAGATCTTCCTCTGTTATTCACTGTTGTACATTTTGGTTTTAATTATTATGAACAGTATATTTTGGAGATCAAAATAAATCAGATTTTTTTCTTTTCACAGCTATTTATTATGGAAGTTGTTATATATATAGAAAAGCTGCAGCAATGTTACAACAGACATCCTCTACCTAGACCTAAAACTTGTTAACACTTTGCCATTTTTGCTGCCTCCCCCACTATTCAGCATGCAACTCCTAAGAATAAAAATAATCCTCTACATAACCATAATAGTCAGAGTCCTGAAGTACTTATAAAATATCCAGTCTATCTTCAGGTTTTCCCAGCTCTCCCCGAAATGTCTTTTATAGCTTTTTTTCTCCCAGACCAAGACAAAATCCAGGCTTATGCTCTGCATTTGGTTTTATGGTTTCTTTTCATCTTTATCAGTAACTTCACATTTTTGTTATGTTTATTTAGAAATAAGTTATCTTAAGCTTTTTTTTTTCCAGTACCAGGGATTGAACTCAGGACCTTGCCCTTGGGAGGCAGGCATGGTGCCGCTCAGCTAAATCCCCAGTTAGGCTCTTTAAATATATACTGTATATTTTTGAAAAGGGTAATAGCTGTAGGATGCATTGGAATAAAAATGATGATACTGGTCATGGCCAAAGATCATTCATTGATCTAGTGCTTGTGAAAACCAGCATTAACCAGTCTAACTGCTCAGGGTCTGGAGGATCAGTATTTCAGTCACCAGTAACCTATTCTTGGGCCTTCTTTGGCATATCCTCAGTTAGAAAAAGGGTTCCATTACATGAGACAGTTTAAAAAATGACAACAGCATTAATGATTAAAACAAGGTAGAAGCTCATTTCTCTTTCACATTTCTCTTTTCCACACGGCCCTTGAAGCTCTTAGGTGTTCTGCTGTGTAAGAAACCAAGGATGTGATTCCAAAATCTCTGGGGTAGCACCCTTACCCAGGTGGTCTAGAGTAGCTCATCACCAGCCCCAAATTTTAGCCAGTAGAAAGTGGAGACGTGCCATAGCCTCTAAGTTAATAGATCACTTCCACTCTTATATCTTGGGCTAGAACTAAATCTAAGCTCCAAAGGAAGCGGGGAAGTGTTGTCTTCATTTGGAGTTGCCGTATACCAGCAAAAAGTGCTACCACCTCTCTGGGCAGTCATTCACACAAACAGTGCTTTGTTAATACTGTTTTAGATGCAAATAATACTTTAGTATTTAGAAAACATATTTATACTCTCACGTCACCCTATCAAATGGGTGTTTTAACAAGCTGAGTTTCAAACAGCTCAGCAAACTGGTCCACATTACCACACCCCCCAAAAATTTATAGAGCTACAGAACATTGTTTATAGATCATTTTGCCTTTGAATTAATGCATTTACTTTTTTTCTGATTACATTAGTTGTACAAGTTTATTCTCTTTACAATCCTTCACTTGGCTAAGCACATTATTAGGAACAAGTTCTTACTGTAATTCCGTGGCATTTTATATGTACAAACACTTTCAGGAACACGAAAAAGAATATAGACATCAATCCTTCATTTAAAGACGCTGTAATGGTAGGACCACCTGCATGAGGGTTGTTGTGAGAATTACGTGAAATAAGCCATGCTTAGCATAGCAGATGACATGTAATAAGCATGTGTTGAATATTTTTTTTTTTTTGTACCGGGGATCAAACTCGGGTCCTTGCGCTTGCGAGGCAGGCCACTGAACTGCTGAGCTAAATCCCTGGCCTTGTGTTGAATATTAATATGAAATTAGAGTGATAATTTCTAAAAACTCATTCTATTTCTCTGAAGCATGTCCTTGTCTTCTGACAACACGGCAAGTCAGGCATTGTTACCATGTATGTCTGACAAGGTGTTCTCCAATGGGTGAGATTTGTGAAAATGGTTTCTGTTCTGGTACTTATTTCAACAGCATCACAGCTACAGCGGCAAGTATTGGAGCAGCTGGGATTCCTCAGGCGGGCCTGGTCACCATGGTCATCGTGCTGACATCCGTGGGTCTGCCCACTGACGACATCACGCTCATCATTGCAGTGGACTGGTTCCTGTGAGTACTCAGGGGCTGCATCTGGCACCAAGCAGCCTGCCACGCCTACACAGAGAAGGTGGAGGAGAAAGCCAGCCTGGTCTAAGATTAAATTTTCCTCATTCCCTGATCCCTGTCCCTTATCTGGAGACCAAGCCTGAGGTGCCATGTGCACTTATTTCCCTATCAGCGTGCAGGGAACATCTGGCTACCATACTTCTCACCCCATAAGCCAGTCAGAGTTAGGAAACCTGCTCTCTGCAAGCCAGAGTTAGTTGGCAAGGCCCTTTCTGAATTGCACAACACATTCCTGCAGGGGTCCCACACACTGGTTCCAGCCCTTCCTCCTTCCACTTCCTATACCAGTGGTGAAATGCAGGTCAAATGTTCCCATCTGAGCCATACAAGCTGAGCGGTGACTATGCATCATCCAGTGGAACTGGTTTCAGGCGCTGGGGAAAGTTCTAAGAAATGTACCCTTAATACCTCCAGACCCCAACCTCTAGGACTCAACCCTGTGTCCTCTTCTCTTGCCATTCTAGCTAACATTCTCTGCCCTTTGCCTTTCACAAGTTTCCTTCCACTTTTGAAAAAGGTCTCCCAAAGAATGCCCAAGGCCAATGCCTAGAAGAACATATTGGGCACTGGGGTCAACATGCTGAGTTTACCAGAACTGAGGGCCATGAAGAACCATGAGTATACACTAAGCCCAAGGTCCCAGAATGAGTTTCCCAGTCACTGGGTCATAGGCCATCCACCATGCTAGTTTTTACCTCTAAAATTAAGATTATCATGTCCTCTGCTTCCTCCTGGCACTGAGAGGGTTAAATTCAATGACACATGCCAACACTCAAACCACTGTAAGTTTCCTAAGTATTCGTACAGCTGGAGTCATCCTAACTGCTTCTATATCCAGTGAGTTGTTATCACACACAGGGTAACCTTTGTAAAAATTCTGCTGCACGTTCTTGAGAAAATGAGTGTGATAGGGACAAATGACATTTTAATATTATTATACAACTGTTTGACCTCAGGGACCCCTCCCCAAGGGTCTCTGGACCACACTTGGATAACTGCTGGTGTAAAGGAAGGTAAATTCAAGAAATCTTCAATAAAAGAGAAATCTTAAATAAAAGAGAAATGATGCTCTAGCTACAGTCACCTCAGTAACTGAAAATTGATTGTTCACATGGTTTTATGATTTTTTAATAGCTGCTGTTATCAGGTCTCCATGTCTGGTAGGTAACCATGCAAAGGCTGGATAAGCCACACTACACTTTAAGAGATGTTTGTAGGTTGGTGTGGTGATAGCACATGCCTGAAATCCCAATACTCTAGAAGGCTGAGGCAGGGTTGCAAGTTCAAGCTCAGCCTGGACAACTTAGCAAGGTCCTGCCTCAAAATAAAAAGAAAAAAATTGATAATATAACTCAGCACTAAGGCCCTGGATTCAGCTCCAAGTACCACTAGGGACAGGAGGGAGGGAGGACATGGAAAGGGGGTGGGAACAAGAGAGGGGACAGGAGAGACAGAGAGAGGAAAGGCAAAGGAGAGAGCCCCTAAAGACTTTGCCATACACAATAAAAGCTGAAACCTCCTTTTCCCTCCCACCCACCCCACCTCAGGGACCGCCTCCGAACCACAACCAATGTACTGGGTGACAGGGTGCCTCCGGGAGCCGGGATTGTTGAGCACTTGTCACGACACGAACTGAAGATCAGAGACGTTGAGATGGGTAACTCGGTGATTGAAGAGAATGAAATGAAGAAGCCATACCAGCTGATTGCCCAGGACAATGAAACCGAGAAACCTCTTGATAGTGAGACCAAGATGTAGACTAACACAAAGACACGCTTTCTTGCACACCAGGGGTTTGAAACCATCATGAAATGTGTCCATCTCATTAGGCTCATTCTCTCCAATGAAACCCTGCCCTCCTCTTTTCTCCCTACTGGGAAATGAATGGAAGGTATTCATCCAAAAACGGGAGGATTTTGCGGCAGCCAAACCATATTCTTTTCATCCCACATTTGCAATTTGAAAATCATCTCCTATTAGTCTTACCTAGTAAGGTAGTGGGATCCAAAATCATCTTGATCAGTTCTCACAAATTCATGTGGAATGTGATCCCACAAACACGATTGCTTTATAAGTTAAAGACTCTAACAAATAGGCTAAAGTATTTCAAGTCAACTTTCAAATTACAAAAATCCTTCAGAATATTAGTCTCAAAACATAGCAACTCAACGGGAAACAATCAGCTGTCAGTTGGACTATAGAAGGATTTTTTGCCCCATTCTCTTCTGACTTGTGTCTCTATTTTCCTGGGATCAGGAAAATGTACGTCGACACATCCCATGCAGCTGTGAGAGGGGACAGCAAGTGAAATTTCCGTGTGGCCTTGAGCAAGTCGCCTCTCATTTCTAGGCCTCAGGGTGGTCATCTGCACAATAAGTGACTTCCTTAGATGCCTTTATGGTCTTGCTAGCCCAGTCTTCCTGTGATTCCACAAAAGCGCCTGCCCTCAATTTCTCCACAGGATTACCCTGCACACCAAGTATCGGGCAATGCAGTACAGGGCTCTGAGAAAGAGCACTTAATGGAAGTGAACATCTCTGTATCGAGGCAAGACGGTGCGTGGTTCACCAGCTCCCATATCCAAAATGTCAGTTACTCCAGTTGTCGGATCAAAGGCCATTCCAGGAGAGGGATTATTCATGAAACCCTTTGCCTTTTTCCAACAGGGGAAGTATTCCCTTCTTTCCTCCTCTCCCCAAACAGAAGGGAAGGATGTCTCCCACTGCTCCACTCACAAAAGACTTTTAGGAAGTAAACAGACTAGCAACTAGCAAGGGTGTTCATGGCCTTACTGTGGGACAACACAGAGCTGAGGAAGAAGCAAGCGTGACTGGCATTAAAGAGAGGAATTTATAATACCGAGAGTTTAGGTCTTCTTTAAGGAAAACTAAAAAAGAAGAGTTTCATTTGGATCCTTTTTTTTAACCTGAAACACTTTTTCTTTTCACTTTTGAATCATTCCTCCAAGAAACATATATACAAAAATATTACCTCTTACATATTACGAAGAAGTCAAATGAACGTGCTACTACAGTTCCATGGACTGAGTCAGTGGTCTCTAATCAGATCTTAGAGTGAAGAGAAATGAAATACTTTGCATTGAAATTTCACTCACCAAATTATTTAAAACTTGCTGCTAGAGCAGGGTTTGCTGTAGTTTTGTTTGTGTACCTAAGAGACACAGTAGAAGACAAATCAGTAGGCAGGCAATGTGAATGAGGTCATAAGAAAAGAACGCAGTGGCATTAGTTTCAGGCAAGACAGCTCCCTGGTTGAAAAGATTAATTTTTGCCCCCTAAAAGAATATCCAGTCAAAGACACTCAGTGGGAGCCATCAGACAGTACCAGCTGTGTTTGAGTCTCTGCCTGAAAACAGTGATGGACTTAATTACGCTAACAAATGGAGAATCTAGACCTCCACCCTCTGATACACAATTAGAGATTTTTTATAGAGACCCTGAGCATTTCGTGCATATAAAAGTTAACATTAGGCTGTGGTAGAGTAACCACTTAATGCTGAGGCTCTATTTGGGAAATACACTACAAAAATTAATGTACAAGGCTGTCGTGACACTAGTAGAGCATTTGTGTCAAAATAGTTCTGTTACACAGTGTGATTTTTTTATACTAACCGTCCCTTGTGAAAGCAGGTCCTCTAGAGTGACCCTCTGGCCGGCCCATCATAGGCTCTGCACATATACGCACCTAGTGTGGACGGAGAGGCGTTACTGTATAGGTGTATTTTCAATAAAGAAAAATTAGTTTTACATTAATATGTTTGTGTGTTGTTATTCTTTTCCCTGAAGGAAATTTAATTTTCTGTTCGTGGAAGTGTTGCAATGAGATCAGGCAAGCTGGGAAAGGATACCACACGGCATGGTAAAATCTTGGCAGGATGCGCTGGGGGAACTGGCCCCGAGGAAATAAAGAAGGACACGTTCTCCTGTGGACTCCTCAAGCTGGAGGCGGAAACTGGGACAGGCGAAGGAGGCAGCCTGCACTAACTTGTCTGGGTCAGATTCGTTTCTCAGAGAAGTGGCATCCCTTTCGTGTCAGGGTTGGTAAAGTGTAACGGCCGCATGGGACTCTGCCAAAGTGATTTCCGGCCTTCAAATTAAACAAATCTGTCTGCGTAATGACTACCACCGCTTGTGAAAAGAGCTAAATAAGAGTTCAAGGAGTATTTGAGAGCCAGCCATGGTGCTAGTGAACCTCTCTGTTCATTAACAGACTTACAGAGGACTCCTCCCCACCTGCTGTTTCATAAAGAATTGGCAGGCATTAGCATGAGCTCTACTGATGGAAGTTGTGTCTAGAGACCCTTGCATCTGATCCTCTACCTGAAGAGGGCAGTCACCAAGACAGGTCAACGACCCCTAGGTCATCCACGTGAAGACTTCAATGGATTCATCGCCCTTGGAATTGTGAGGAAATTCTGGCCATCTGCCTGATTCACTGGGTAAAATTCTTGGACTCCATCAGTTGCTCTACATGGTCACGTGGCCCCCCCAAAGATTGTGAACCACTGTACTGTATGTGATGAATACATTCTAACTTTTCAAGCCATACAGTATATGATAATCATGCAGCCAACTTGTGAATAGGAAGTTAGGCGACTCAGAGTCCAGACGAACACAGCTTGGTCACCCAAACAAATCAACATCTGCATACTTGGGACACTCTGGACGCTGAGAAGCCGTCTGAGAGGCCCACAGTCCACCCAGTCCAGCTGGGCCCTGCAGCCTCCTGCATGACTGCTTTCCTCCTCATCTGCAGCCTGAAGTGGACTTTGAGAAGCTGATCATCAGCGTGGGGAGGATGATGGCAAGTCCACGTGGTTGAGGACCTGGCAGTTCAATTCCAGTGTGACCAGAACAGAAGAAAGAAAAAAAAAGAGGTAGAGTTCCCTATACGTCGTAACCACAAATCTGTTCACAAATGGAACTATGAAGACGTTAATAAATTCATTTCATAATTTAAACGCCCTGGACCCTCAGAAGCTAGGGCCTGTCTCTCTCCACTCCCGCATTCATCCTGTCACCTTTACTGTCAGGCCCAAGCAGGATTCCTTTTTCTGAAGCAAAAAATCTCACTTTACCAATAAAATCCTCTTCCCTCTGCCTTTATTCACATACACCACGTTGAAAAACAGAAACGAAGAACTGTTAATGCATGGGTCTGAAGGAAGCATAGAAGGGCTCCTTCCCTTCCCGGTGGAGGGAGGCTCTGTGCCCGGCTCCTGCGGGGCCCAGCACACGGCCTCTTTCCGGTTTTCCGGGCGGCCCCCGGGCCCCTGACCCCAGGCTGCTGTCAATCATTGGCGCCCCCGGACCCCACCCCTGTCCGGTCCCTCTGCCCTCCACCCGGGTGGTCCCAGAACTGGATAATGCCCAGCTCTGTGTGGCCTCGTCCTGGGGCCAGAGCAGTTGAGAGGTGTCGTGCCTAGGGCAGCCTCGGAATGAATAAGCCGACACAAAAAAGAAGGAAGAACAGAGAGTAGTGCATAGCGTCCTGAAAGGGAAAGTGGAGATGGGCAGTCTCGGCTGAGGGGGGGGGGGGGGCGAGCGATACCCAAAGGAGCCACCAGGGGGAGCTCACCTAGACAGGTTTCTCAGGAGCCCTGCGGAGGGACCCAACAGCGAATGCTTAGGCCTAGGGGCCTAGAAGGATTAGTCTATGAAGACCACCAAGCTGGTTTAAATTCCTCAGGTCCCCATTTCACGTTTCCCTCTGGTCACCCTGCTGCTGCAATAGCCTCTGCAAAAGAGCGCTCTGTTTTCTGGGAACCCTTTGTCTGTTCTGTCTTGTGTCTTCCTTCGTCTCTCTCCCCCACCTCTCAGCATCCTGCCGGAGAATCTCCTCTTCCTTCACACTCTATGTCTTATTATGCTTCCCTGCCGAGGTCAGGTCCTCCGAAAGTAGCGTGGTAACATTTTCCAACCGGCTACACCTCATCCCGCCCACAAACAGCTATCTCAACTTTCAGTTTTGAAACAGTCACGTTTTGTCAAATTCTGGACCTTCGAAGTAAGGCTGTCAGATAAAATACAGGAACCCCAGTTAAATTTGAATCTCAGATAAGTAACAAACAATGTTTTAGTATAAACGGTAAATAACAGAGGGTTAGTATAAGTAATAAAAAAATATGGCATTAGACAGCCAGCATTTCTGTTTGTGAATCTGGTAATCCTACACACAAGTGACAGTAAGACCTGAAAATGACTGGTTTGTCTTGGTTAAGGGCACATTGCAAGTGACAGGGTATGTTTGTAGAGGGGGAGTTGTCCTCGTAAATATTCTTCCAAATTTTAATGTCTCTCTGAAGGCTTTCTTAAGCATGCTTTAAGAAGTCCAGATCTGTGCTTTCTGCCTTTTAGTTGTTCTGAGATAGTCACTCACTATGTGCTTGTGAATCTTGTGACCACAATCTAAAAGCCTGATGAATCACCTCTAAGACTTTACAGAACTGTCTCAGATAAATTAAGCAATGTTTCAGTTATCCATGCTTGAAATGTTTTAAGGCTGGCATCTGTTTTTCTTTTCTTCCCTCTCCTATTTTATCCTTTCCTTCAATCATTCCTTATTTCCACCCCGCCCCAACCCAACATAAAGTACTTTCAGTAATCGGTGAGAGGCCTGACAGATTTGACACTCATATATTCTTTTCCAATGAAGGACACTTTTTTTTTTGTTTTGGAGCCGTGTTTAGAAAAGCACCTGTGTTATTTTTCATGTAATACTATTCAAAGATAAACATTTTCCAGTCCCTATAAAGTTGAAAATGAGGCATTTCTTAAATATTTTCAGGGAACTGCAGACTCCATGGATGGTAAAAAGAAGGGAAATAAATCCCCTTCTTTAAGCCATGGCTGAAGGATATGAGAAGCAGCAGGAGGACACAAAATGAAACCAGAAACATACAAGCTCGTTACACATACAGGTGCGGATCAGCAGATCTGACACTAGAAGAAAATGTCAGATGGCAACTTGGGGATTTCTTCTCCAACTCTACAGGATCAGGAATCATAAAAGTCCTGAAAGCAGCCACGCAGGAGCTCCAAGACATAGCTGTCTCCGGAAAAAAATAAGACCATCAGCTGACCTGACCCTAACCTGATCTCTAAGCCCCTAACTCCCTAAGATCTTTGTCAGCAACACAAATCTGAAAACTGTCACCACAGTCCCCTGTCTTGGCACTACGGTGCCTTAGAGAGGCACTTTTCCTTAAGCCCATGAGAAGCATTAGTCAATGAAATAGAAAACAAACTCAAGAAAATTAGCATGTATGTTAGGTAAATATCCTAACCTAGACTTTAAAAAACATTATGCTTCCTAAAGTCTAAAGGCCTTTGGCTACAGAGTGGTATTCAAATCTAACCCTATACACAGTGATGGTTGACTCCCCAGTGATAAACACAAATTATACTTCTTTCTCTCCCCTCCCTTCTTCCTCCCTCACCTTCCCTCCGATTTTCTCTCTCTCTCTCTCTCTCTCTCTCTCTCTCTCTCTCTCTCTCTTTCTTTGTTCTAAAAACCCTCTCTCTCTCTCTCTCTCTCTCTCTCTCCTTCTTTGTACTAGAGATTAAACCCAGGGCCTTCACCCTGAGCTACATCCCCAACCCTTTTTTATTTTGAGACAGGGTCTTGCTAACTCATTAAGTTTCCCAGGCTAGGCTCAAACTTGCAGTCCTCCTGCCTCAGCCTCTCAGAGTGCTGGGATTTCAGATGTAAGCCATCTCACCCAGCGCAGCCCTAAATTCTTGAGCACTTTGTCAGGGCCCCTGGACAGTGACCTCCCTGCACCTCAGGGTCCCTCTCTGTGCGTGCGGTACCTGCCATCTCCAAACTTCCATTCATGTCTGTTTACCATGTGTCACAGGGGAGGTTAACTAACTGAGTTAGTCAACTAAGCTTTACAAATGATAGGCTGAACTTCAACTTCCTTATTGTATGACCATAGCTTTCTCATGAAGTTGGAATGAAAATTAAAGAAAATATATAGTATTACATATTATATGTGTACATAATGTAAATAAAATTCTCAGCGTAGTTTCTGGCATTCAGGAAGATTCTTGGTCTGCTTAGAACAAAACTGGCTCAACAAAAAGGGAAGAGCTTGGGGGTGGGGCTTGGGGCCCACTGGAAGGAACTCAGAGGAGACACAATTCCTCCTGTCTTCTGGTCTCCTGGGAGGCTCTTGGCCGACGTCACCCCTGGAAACCGGCTTCCCAAGTCTGCCAGGCCTCTTCCCAAGGGCCCAGGCTGCCCTTGCCAGCCTCCCCCCACAAGCCTTTGTCAAGCATGGCTCTCCCAGCAGCCTTCGCTGCGTGGAGGTTTTGTGAAGGGCTCAATTCGACACTGAGGAGACCACCCAGCTTCCTCTCCCAGAGTCTCCAGAGTACAGAACCGCCCTTCTGTGTGCCAGCGACCTCCCACTCTGCCTGGACCCTTCCTGCTGTCCTCTGAGGCCGAGGGGACAGGAGGGCCAATCAGTGGGAACCAAGGGGACACAGTGTAAGGCTCAGTTGGAGTGAAAAGCCAAACTCCAG